TAGCGAACAGCTCGAAGAGAGAGGAAGAGAGAGCGAGAGAGAACATTCCCAAAGGCGAGGAATAGGGCAGCAAGAGTTCCTCGTGGCATCCGAGCGGGTGATAAATCTTCATTTCCAGCGGGAGCCTTCTAATCTAATATTCTCGTTGAGTTACAGCTTTGTTCGAGTGTGTTCCTCGTGGCCGCCAGCTCCGATATCTGGTAATTTTGACGGGAAGGGTCGGAGGAGGGGTGGAAACGAGTTAGACGGCGGAGCGTTTCCATCCACTCTACACTCTCTCTCTCTCTCTCTCTCTCTCCACTTGCACGTCCCTTTCTGTCGGCCCGTATAAATCAGAGATATAATTATCCGGAATTGCGGCCGGGCGATACGCATGGAAACACGTGTACGTCTTGCGCGCAAATTGCGCCTGGGTATCGCGCGTTGTGACCTGAATTCTGAAGCAATCAGCGGCTGGCATTAAATTACATATATGCTCCATCGGTTCGAGAGGCCGCCACTTCGATGACGTAATTAGTCAACGACGGTAATACGGTTGTCGGTAATATAGCCACAATTAATGCAGAAACCCGACTTGCCGACTAATTAATGAAGCCTGAACGATCTACTAATTCCCCACCCCTTCTCCTCCTCTTCCTACTCAAGAGCGGAGCAACTCGATGCCCTTTCGTCTCGAATCTTCGTGGAGAGGAAGTTTCAAGTCTTCGATGGGGATATATAGAAGCTGGTACGTTACTTCGCGAGATACACGACGTGCAGTTTCCCCCTTTTATCCTTATACTTCGGTGGAATGTTTCCGGAGTAATAATTAAGAGCAGAGAGAGAGAGAGGGATCACTTCGACGCTGTTCGTGCGTTACGGCGTCGGTGGTTAGTTTTCGCGGCGAATAAATCAGGTAGATTGCACTGATAAGGGAACGTACCGAAAGTGATCCTCGCAGATTTTTGATGAAATTTTCGCGTGTGATGGATCTCGAAACAATATTCGACGCGCATTTTTTTTTTATCAAAAGGGTGAAAATCGCCTTCAAATTTTAGAGTAGTTATATTTACGCCAATATCTCGATAACTGTTCGAATTAAATGGGTGGAGAAAATTGACCAAGTTTCTATCTCTGAATTACGAATGTGGCTCGTTTGTTTAAAAGTAATACATTAAAAATTCGCGCTTTACGTGTATCCTTACGTATAGAGGAAGCTAAGTGCATAAAGTGGCAAAAATTACAAACACACGTCTTTCCTAATTTCTTCGTCTCATCTGGTCAAACTAAAAACGGTACACTTACCGTAGGTTAAGGCGTGCAATCGTCTACAGTTTAAGGGATTAAGTTGTAAACTCTACCTAAAACGTGTAATAAGTTCCCGGCGACTCGGAACGATCCTTAATTTACGATCTAACAAAAACACCTGTTCCAATCTTCTCACAATGTTCCCCGCTCGTTCTTTTTCCCGCACGGCGAGAAAAAGGAACGTGCGGCGGATTCTACACGTGTTCGAGGGACTATTTAGAGGTATCCACGGGAAGTGGTAACGTGATTGTGACACACGAGAGGGTCGGAGACGACGGGTAAAGGTGCAAGAGAGAGAGAGAGAGAGAGAGCGAGGTACACGCGGAGAAGAATTCCGGCGGGCGGAAAAAGGCGGGCGCGAAAAACGCTCGCGCGTCTCGCTGCGGCCGGCAAGAGACACATTGTACGGCTAATTAGTGGCAACTTTATCACGGTGAAGTTGCTTGTTCCAGGTAAATACATGAGAAAGACCGGGCGCCATTTGAAATTCGCTTTGCCAACGATACACACGGCCAGTGTATATTTAATAGAGTCTTAATTGGAGTCGACGGCTCGAAAGGTTTAATTGGACATCGTTCTACCGCGGTTTCCCCCTCTCCCTACAACCTCCAGCTTTTTTCTCCTCGCCCCTAACTCTCTCTCTCTCTCTCTCGACGTTTCATGTCCTCCCCTCTCCCCCCTTTCCGCTGGCAGAGGATCGAGGCTCTCTGGATTACGTAGTCAATGAGCGATGGTTCAAAGGATATCAAGATGTTCGTTTGAGCACACTGTCTGTCCGCTTCAACATCGCGCTTGTCCGCCGTGCTCCGTCACTCTTCCTCTTCGATACGCGGTCGTCGAGTTTGTTTACTTGGAAATCACTTGCCGCTGCAGCTATTAATTAAACTTCTCTCCCTTGTTTAACTTTTCCACCGCGCCGCGGTAAGAGCATTCCGTCAGAGAACGCTTTTCGAATTTTTCGTCGTAAACGTTCCCTCGCTCGCTCGCTCGCGTTCCCTTTGCCGGCGTGGTAAGCCGTTCGCGGCTCTGTGTGAGAATTTTCATGCAAAAATTTCACGTCGACGAAGAGCTAGACAGCGTGCAGAACGGCACCGAGTGAACATTTCGATCTTAAATGTTTAACTTTGTCTCCGTTCTTTCACGTTCGACGAGGTGTTCCCGTTTAATTGCGAGAAATATCGTCGTTGAAGGTTATTTGTCATCCGCGTTAGAATTTATATTCCGACGCGATCTTCCGACTGGAGAATAAACAGTTTCGAAGGGAATCGAGATTTAACCGCGAACCAGAGTTCGTTCACTCTCTCTCCACGTTTATACGGCGGTTGAATATTTTACCCCGACGGGGGTTAAGTGGTTGATTGACAATCTACCCGATCAGCTATTTAAACGGCAAAGATCCAACGAGCTGGAAGTAAGAACGAGGCACGCGGAACCGTCGCAACTGCGGGCTGGCGGGGGACAGAGGGTGAAATTATTAACGCGTGAACGAGCCACTCGTCGGTTCGAGCAATCCGGTGGCGAACAAATTTCTCTCCTTTTTCTTCTTATTTCAATTCGAATATCGATCGTCGAACTCTCTCTCTCTTTCCTTCCTTTCCTCGCTCTTTTTATTTTTTTCTCCTGTTTGCACCCCCTGGTCGTTTTGCAGCGTACGCCGCCGGTCAACGTCAACGCGAACGACGCTGACGTTGAGGCGTAAGTCGGATGTAAATGGCATAAAAAGTTTTCAGCGTGCATATGCACGAGGCCGGGTGCAAGCGGGAGTATGAACAAGGGTGTGGTGGCGGGGCGTTGCTGGAATATGGCAACTGGAATTGCACACTGGCTGCTGGGAGAGCGAGAGAAAAGCCACGGTTCTCGTTGGTTCGAGAAAGAGGGAGACGGTTTGAGAGGCAGCCAGAGAGAGCCGGTGAGCACGAGAGAGAGAGAGAGAGAGAGAGTGGGTGGAAAAGGGAGAGCGAGATAGAGGCGAGCGACGATCAATACGCCATCAGCTTAAATTACAATAATAACGCCGACCAGACAAAGCGAGCGTGCCGGTATAAAATAGTGCAGCCGTAAAAAGCTGCGGCGTCGCGGGGTCCAACGCAGTTCGACAAACACCGGTTTCGTTGTTTAATCGTTTACCGAAACGGAAATCAAATGTCGATTAACTTTGGTAGAAAATTTACTGATTTCAAGATTATGTTGGCTATTTAGACCGGTTGCTCGTACGTTCCTCTATCTGTGAAAAGTAGATGTATTTTCTGTGCGGAGAGGAAACGAGGGAATCCCACCCTCGGCGCGGTATTAAACTTGTATTTTGATTCATCAGAGACGATCAATTTTAATGGATACACACGCCACCGGTAAACGATTCCCGCTATCGCGCCAGCAGTGATGTGTGTCATTGTTGCGGGAAAAATGAGGTCCTTTTCTGCAATTACACGTCAATAGTTGAAATGTAACTGGTTCGATGTAAAACGTTTATGAACGTTGCCATTATAGCTGGCGTTCGAACAGCCGTTTCGTTCAATGGGCTTACATTTTACAAGATGAATGCTCTCTCTTTCTCTCTGTTCCCCGGCTTTTTCGAATTAATAATGAAGATCCCCGGGCGCGATTGTTCGCGGCGCCGTAATTAAAGCGGCAAAGTAATGTGGAAATGTAGAATAAACGGGAGAGGAAGGAAATAAATGTAAATTTGCCAAGCATACTAACTCGAGTAATACGTAACAGGGACAAAAGGGGAGACTTTCGCGGCCGTGAAAAATTGATACCGGGATCTTTGTCTCTTTCAACAAGTCTGCGGAGATTTCTTTTGCCCCGCGAGAACGTCCAAGAGATTCGAAATGCATTTCAAGGTATCAAGTGGGAGACAGCCGGGAGAGAAAAATTGACGAAAAAAAGAGAATCCATTTCCGTGGCCTTCCCTCTTACCTTCTTTCTTCCTCTCGTTCCTTTTCGTCTCCGTTACGATTCATCGGTCACTCTCGAGTGCTCTCCTCTCTGAAACGCCGCGAGAGGAGGTATTCCCTTTAACCTGATCCAGAGAACGAGGGAAGAACGTGAAAGTTGATCGCGCGAACCTTGAAATAACACATTAATTCCGAACTTCCCGATCGCGAACTTTTGCCATTTTCCCAGTTCCACGATGAGAAACTAAACCGTTCGGTCGGGCAAACTAGAACGGTTCCATCAGTTGGAGTTTTCAGCCGGGGATTTAAAGCGAAACGTTTTGTTCATTCGAAACGGCCGATGCATTTGAATTTCTGCCGCATCCGCGTGCACGGTTTAAAATTGAACGTAACGAATCGACCGGCGTGCTTTGTTTCGTTCTTCCTGGACCATTTCCAAACCTATCCTCCCGAAGATTCGCTTATAGAGACACCTGTCTCGATAGATTCTTTTACAAAATATCAACTACGAATTGAACAACATTACAATTCCATAACCACGCCGTTATATACACATTCTTATCATACATATATATGACTTTATACGACTTTCTTCGAATACTCCACAACTCCTTAACAACCACAACAAGTGTCCTCGAGGACTGCAGGCATTCAGCGGTATTCTCGAGAAATCCCGGGCCAAAAATGTCAAGCACCGTTGAACGGTGGACGAAATAAATTTTACCCGTGGTCCAAGAACTATTAACTCTCTATACGTCAGGTGAACTTAAGTCACGACCCAGAAATTCACAGAATTTTCGTCTCTCGTTTTTTCAGACCCTCACGGCCCAGTTCCGCCGAGGTTCAACGAACGAGTGAGTCCGGCACCGATACGCACAGGAGAGACGATCGTCCTGTCCTGCATATCCCAGGGTTTTCCACCGCCTATGTATCTATGGTTTCGCGAGTCTGTGACGGGCACGGCGATGATCTTCAATTCAGAAAGGATCTACGCCAGGGCTGGCGTGCTGGTGTTACAATCGGCCAGGGCGGAAGACGCGGGGCGATACGTCTGTCACGCCAACAATACGGCCGGTTCCGAGATGGTCGAATTGGAGGTCTCCATTATAAGCAGCCTCTCCATCCACCTGGTGCCTCAACAGGTTAGTTTCCGCTACTTTCGTTTGATCTCCGCCGCCCGTATCGAGCACCTTCTCCTTCCACTTCCCGGCAATTCGCCCATTCGATTTCTTCCCTTTTCAACCTTTCCTCCACCTTTCTTATTAGATAATTGTAACGACGATACAGCGACGGCGATGGGGTCAGAATCTGTAATGCGTCACGGTGTATTTTGGGGGAAGATTGTGTAAAATTGAGAGGCTGACTCTTTTGGGTGATTTGGGTAATTTAATTTTCTGTTAACCCTTTAACCTATGGCAACGTGTGAGATTCGTGGCAGAGATTCTGGTCACGAAGTGAGAAAAATTAATTGTAATTCTAACTTTCGTTTGAATTTGTAAGACTGAGGATTACTAAGTGTGATTAATCTGTAACAGATTAGCTTTCTTTACCTGATACAGTACGAAAACATTGCATGGCTGACGCTTAGATGCAAAGTCAGAGAAGAAATTATAAAATAAGTAAGTGATAATGTTCACAAGGAAACCCGCCGGTTTCATTTTTCACCCGCTTTAAGCATTTGTTCCATAGCGGCTAGCAATCTGGACAAAGGAAGAAACCATCCGGCGTGCAGATGGCTAGTACGTTTCATGACACACACGTTAAAATGCTGTTTTCGAGAATGTCTCTTTATTCGTTAATCCCTTAAGGAAGAGTTTCTTTTCCTAAACGTCGTTTACGACCTCAACAGCTAATTGTACGTGTCATAAAACGTGAGTTTCTAATAAACGTCGTTTACGACGTCAACAGCTAATTATACGTGTCATAAAACGTGAGTTTCTAAAGGGCTTCGGGACAGAGGCCCGGCCGCGAGTCCCAGGCCTGGTGGAAATTCCCGTTGTAGTTTCAAATGTTTAAACATTTGCTGACCTTCACCCCCTCCTGTCATCGCCTAGTCCGCACGGAGCGTGTCACGGACACACGGATAGGTCGATGACAATTAGGGAAAAATATAATTGGCTAGTACCGACAGCCAATCGGTAAAGAAGTAACATCTTCAGAGTTTTCCCGCTTCTGGAAAAAACTGGAGAGCGCAGTCTAATTCGAAGTCTACCTCGAAACACCAGAAGGTACTCACCAGGAGTATCAGGAATACACACACGTACCACCAGTCTCGCGTCGCTCATTTTCATTGTTAATTATTGTAATTCAAGAGTAAATACATATAGTTAGTTCAGTCCAACAGAATTATCCTGGCCTTTCAAACAATTCGCTAGGAAATCGCCACACATCGCGGCGGTATTAATCAAGCAACCATACCGCAAGTCTCGTCGTGGACGTGTGCACGAAAAAACAGTGTATGTTGAGTTTGAATCTATAGGGTGTCCTAGTTTTTTCCGATCAAACTTTGTCAGTGTGTTATATGGACATAAGCAAGAAATAAATGTTGAATAAACATAGGTCGTTTGGAGCTTTGTTAAAAAGTTATAACAAAAATATCCTGATACTTTGAGACACCCTGTATATATTATACAGGATTAGCCAATGTTTTTAGGTAGACACAAATATTGTGTTAAGTCATAGACAGTGAGCATTTTCTTACATATATTTACTATGTACAGGGTGTCCCTGTTTTTTCCAATCAAACTTTATTAGTACGTTCTATAGATATAATTAAGAAGAAAAAAACCATTTGTTCTTACTTATATCCATACAATATACCGACAAAGTTTGATGGTAAAAAGCTTAAACACCCTGTACGTGAAATTTATTCCTCTCGAGTAACAGGTTAAACGAACGAAGCAGAAATTAGTAATTAGAAAACGGTTAGAAACGATTTTAAGGAAATGCTATCTAAAAATTGATAGCTTTATTCGCCGAGAGCTTCAACAGGTTAGTATCCGTTTCCCCTCGATTGGGTATCGCCAAGCCAATCGATTCCTTTTTATCTACTCGAACGACAACTTTGGTTCGCCTTCGACCCGCGACCACGTCGCGGCTCGAATCCTCGATACAGACGGGGAGCGATTATTTAAGCAGACGAAGTTTCGAAAGATTCTCGAAAAATTTCCACGTCTTCTCGACCAGAGATTCTTGGTCGGTCTCTCAACAGGTTAGAGGCATTCTATCCGGCGTCGATTGGATTTCACGAACGAACCGAATCCGTCCCTCTTCCTTCCTCTCATCCACCAGATAATCCCAATCCTTCGAGAAATCTTCAGCAACCACGGTCGTCGTTTCGATATTCCGTGATCGTGTCTCGACATCTTTTTTCCATCCGTCCCGCGGACTTCCGCGCTGTGAACTTCCGTTTGGTAGCGCGGAGGAAGGGTGGCAGTCTACTCTGGAAATAAATTTCACAACGATCTGACCGTTCTCCTCTGAGACGCTGCAAAGGGCCTCGAACTGGTTCTCGATGATAAGTAGCTTCTCTTCATCCAGCTGATACCTCAACAGGTTAGCTTTCCTTTATTCTATTTTGTAAACAACTCGAGAGATACAGCCGTTACTTTTTCTTCCTCTGCTCTGCACCCTCTTTTCTTTACCTCTTCCAACTTACCCTCACTCTCTCTCTCTTTCTCCACCAACCATCATCCCTCGGCCCGTTCACCGACAGAGAAACAGAGAAGGAGAGAGAGAGGCGAAGACTTTCTCGATGAGCGTCGATTCTATTTTCCAGCAGATCTGCAAACTACCAACGGGTCGGCGCGGCGTGCAGCATAACGGTTCGTTGCTCCGTGACTTTGTTAAGTCGATGGGATGTTCCCTTCGAGTTTTCTCTTAGCTCGACGAGCACGATCTCTTCTCTTGAGTCGGCGACGAACGGTTCTCGACGAATAAATTCGCATCGGTCTGAACGCGAGAGAGAGAGGGAGAGACGGTAACGAGTGAAGAGGTATCAAAACAGAGAGTCCCGCAGTATCGTCGTTGGCTAATTCTCACCGATGTGGATAATTGAGCAAAACGTCGGGGTAAACAGGGAGGCCGTAGTTATACGATCCGTGGAAGATGCCGGATAAATCTGGAAAACGTCGCAGCAAATATCAGCCTCCGTGGGTGAAAGGGGTAACAACGAGCGAACGAACACGCTTTTCTCACCGTGAACGAGAACGCTGCTATTAATTAGTATTAACTTCCGTTAATTAGTAGCCCGTAGTTCATAGCGGAGCAACGAGCCGACGCGACGGAGTTCTTTGATCTCTTAACAAGCTCCGTTAATTGTGTTCGCGATGTTTCCCGGGACGATGAACGCGAGCATTGTGTCGACGATAAAAGAGAGAGAGAGGGAGAGAGAAAGGGGTGTAGAATAGAGGAAGAGTGGACGAGTTGATGACTGGTGCGTATCGATCTAAAGCTGAAACGATCGAACGATCATGAACCAACGTTCATTCGTCGACTCGTTCGCGAAAACTGTCGGATCGCGTCGAGCCTCCTCCTCCTCCCCTCTGGTGACTCGCGAAAATACGCGCCGCGTAGCGTGTTGAGCGTAACGGGACGAACGATGCCAGCTCGAGCTCGCAAATCGCATATCCCGTCAAAACAACGAATACCTAGAGCGTCCGCACACGCACCGGGCATCAGGTTTTGACCTCCGGGATCGTTGTAAGCGTATTAACCCAGGCGTCGATTGCCCGTGCAAAAGCGGAATAATTAATAACGTTCGAAACGAAATGTCAAACGATGGGTAGGATGCACGGCTAATCCATTCTGCTACTGTGTCCCTTGTTCCCTCCCCGTTGTTATACATACATCCGATTTTCCGTGAAATTTTCAAACTCGCACGCGAACGATTTGACGCTCGATTACGGCTGACACCGATATCCTCTCGTCTCTCTCTCTCTCTCTCTCTCTGGCCGTCTACCCCTCGACGATTATTTGTTTGGAACGTTCCCTGGAGAATCGGAGGAAGGCACGAGGTGGCTGGTTATATCGAGACACGATTCGCTTACGAGATTGTGACTCGATCGAATGGAAAATTAGAGCGGTGTAGACATTTAGGGAATAGAACGAGGGTGGTAGCTTTGGTACGCGATCCTTTGGACGGCGGCGGATTTATAAAAGGACAGATCGGTAAATGGTCCATATCGGGAGGGAATCGATGAAATAGCATTCATTCGCCGGAAGCTTCTCGCATAACTTTTGCAGTCATCAGCAAAGAAACGCTTATTGCGAATGGATCCCCTCCTCTCCCCGTATATTGGCCGCCGTTCCTTCCTTCCTTCCATTAACGCGACTCCATTTTGTCGTCGCTTTATTAAAATCTTCGACAACGCGTCTCTTCGTTCACGCACCGACTTTTTACGAGCTTTCTCCCTGGATGAACTTTCGTGTCAGCAGTTTCACCCAATTGTGAAACGTCACCGGTGTCTCGTATCTTTGAAGGAAGAGAAAGTTTACGGTATCTCTTCTTCTTCTTCGATATTTCCGAAAAATCTTTTCCGACAGATTCGACGAAAGGTTGGCAGAAAGTAGATACACGACGGCAGAGAAAGTAAGCCTGTATAGCACGACTTATTCGGTTTTCACATAAGAGGAATCGTTTCATTCGTCTAATCCTACGGAACGTTCACTTGACGACGTTCTCGCGAGTACAGTGCAGCGAGTCGAGAAAGTTCCCGCTGGCATTCCACGCGAGCTGTGGCGCGTTCCAACGGAATTTATGATTATTTGCCCCTGTTTTTCGAGACGTCCTCGCTGTAATTCTCCCTATTCTCTTCCCTCGATTCGCCTTCTCCCCTCTAACGGGGGAAAGATAACGGCATCGAACGAAGAATCGGGATCTTGTATCGCTCGATTATACCGGCGACGTAAACGCGCCGGTGGATGTCATAATAAACGCGAGATACGATACGCCCGGGCCGTAAGAGAGATGGAAACAAGAAGGAAGACAAAGGGTGTCGAGGTGCAACTCGACGCCTTCGCAAGGTTTGCCCTTTTTTTTCTTCTTCTTCTCCTTCGCCGTTCTTACCTCACTTCTTCCCCAAGAGGCAGCTCGTTCGGTCGCCTTTAAAGGCGCCATCCTTGCGCATCTTATTTCCCATTCCTTCCTCGGGCTGCTTGAATACCGTATCAAAGGATATTTAAACCGGTCTTCGGTTTGAAAGAAAGTTTCCTTTAGGGCGATGGAACAAAAGCGGCCGGGCGAGAGCAACGTGCGCGCGATCCTCTCGACAATATTTAATGGCCGTCGTGTCGCCGTGGTTCGATTCACAGCTCGTGAGGACGCTCGTCCAATCTCCTTCTCTTTCTCTCTGTCTCTGTGTCCACGAAACGGAGGAGAGAGAGTTTCGTATCTCGTCCAACTCGCAAAATCGTCCCGGTCGAACGTGGAATTTTTGAATATAAATCCCCTGGCCCGTTTATTGCGGTCTTTTCAGCAACAGCAGCAAGGAGCCTCGTCCTTCTTTCTCCGCGGATCGTTTCCCTGCCTTCGATATATATAGATATATATTATATGCACGTGAAATCTCTTCTTCGATCCTTTGACGCGCAGAACGCTTTCGAAATTCATGGCCGTAGGGCTGGTCGTGTTACGTGAAGCTAGGCCAAAGTGTGTACAGATGTGCTGTGTACACCCATATGCGCGGGTATGGTCTATTGATGTATCGCTGGTAATCAGGGCGCAGAATCGTCGTTGGACCTCTCTGTGTACAACCTTACCGTTGGATAAATGAACCCCTGTAATAATACGTAAGACAGATTCCTCTCCTCGTTGTGATCAAAGGCATGTTTCCTCGATTGACGATCAATTAACCAGCTGAAGACGCGCGTATGGAAATTCCAGTAGGCCAACATTCCTATTCAGACGCGTTCTGCTGCACCGACGACGACGACGACGACGACTCCCTCGCTCGCTCGCTCTCTGTACGCGGTCTCCCGTGTCTGACTAGGTCGAGCCTTTTCTACTTACCCGGGTTAATCCCGCCGTCACCGACGTTCCAAGCTTTTTAACGTTACATCTGCTGTACCGCGGATGAATGTGCTATGATTTTTACCTCGGTGCAATTTAACTTTTAGCAAAAATTCCTACACTTCCTAGATATCCTCGGTGTATTTTCAGATATTATTTTTTTGCAGTAGGATGTCGTTGGGGTTCGGTGGAAAATAACGTATTGTCGAATTTATATGTACGTTATTGTATCGAATTTATTTTTGCGATATTTTCTGGGTAAACGTGAGCGATATTTGGTACGACGTAAATATCCATTTGTCGATTTTAAGTTGGGTTGACTTATCACGTTCTATGCCGTGTATACACCGTCGACGGTACATGACAATTTCTGGAAATTTTAATTAAACGAGAAATATTCCTGGGAAATAGGTACAATGTTAGGTTACAGTGTGAAATATTCAGCTGTATTGATACTATTCTATATTTGGAATAAACGGAAGCAATACTCGGTGTGACCTAAATATTTGTTATACTGAAACTTTCGTTATACGAAAAATGTTCGTGTAAAGTATAAACAGTGTAGGATTAAAGTGTGATGAATTCACATTGTATCGATAGTATTTTATATTTGAAATAATCGGGAGTGAAATTAGGGCATTTGTTAATTTAAGCACCGATTGGATTAGCACGTTCTGTACCATTTTTATTGTCGATGGTACACGACAGTTTTCAGAATAAAATCTTTCGTTAACCCTTTGCGCTTTGAGCACTCTTTGATACGATGGACCAGCAATTTTAACACACTTCGACAGTGAACCTTTTAAAACAACTTTTTAAATTTATTTTCTTTTATTTCTTGCGCTAATTTCCTTCGTTTTGATGTAAATAAAGCTTGAATGGAGTTATGGTGCATATTACGAATAGCACCAGTGGAGTGCAACGGGTTAAACGAGAAAAAAAGTGTCACAGTGGTGTAAGTGACATTTCCGAAAATTTAGACTTAAGTACTAAAATGCAATCTATACATGCGAAACTGTTAAAAAGACAAGTGAAGTAAGTTATAATTGAGACGATGCAGTAGCAAATTTAATGCTGTGAAATTCATTTGATCATTTCTTATAACATTCTCTGTTTCTCAGAATAAAGAAATTCTGACTTACACCACTGTCACTTCAACCCTCTAATTTCTTCCGAACAGACAACAGAATACACTAGGTCGAGACATAGTCAACTCCCCGGTGAAAATTTCAAGTCCATTTTCTCGAAAACAAAGCCTTATAAGAAAAAATTTTTCCGGTTGTACCATCAGTTACCGACCACCCGGTATAAGATTAAACGATCAAGAATTAAACTGTATCGATGCTCTTCTACATTTAAATCCCATAAGCCGCAAAGTATATTTCTCAATACTTTTATACATTATTTCTGTTGGAAAGTATCCCCGTTATTCCGATCGAAAATTCAATCAACTTTTCCTCCCAGTAGTCACAACTGCACGAGAACATCCATAGAGGGAGAGAGAGAGAGTCGTTGATCCGTCGCGCGACTTATTATTGCCCACAGCGTGTGCGCAGTTGAACCGCTTTCGCCGCAACCCGTTTACAGAGAACGATTCTCGTTAATGATAAATCAGATGGGCCAGCGGCAAACTGATCAAAGGGAGATGACCGCGCGACCCGGAAGCAATTAAGCTTTCGAAGGTGGACGATGAAATACCCAACAGGACATTCGATTTGCCGGCATGGCCGCTCACGCTCGCCTGGAATTTCTCCCGTTGTGTCTGAGCACGTTAAGCGTTTTCTACTCGCGTTCCGGAACGATTGCGTGCCGCCTCTCTTCTTTTCCACGCCGCCCGTTCCTATCGATTCCCTCGAGTTTCCTTCGATCCGCCGTCTTTCCACGCCGATCTCTCATAATTCGAACGGCCTGGAGAGAATCTAGCCTAACCGATAGACGGAGGATTAAAGGATAGTACGAGGCGGAGATTGAACGTTCCGTCGATGTTTCGAAAATGGATAAGGAAATTGGAGGATGGTATTGATAGAGCTACTGCTCGCGTTAAGCACCGTGAACAAAGCACCAACGAAATATCATCTGGCTTTGTTTGTGTGATGCCGTGAAATCGGATCTTCGTCTTATGACGTTGCATAGGTTAGGTAATTTATTACGTCGGTAACACAGGATGGATGTTAAATATAGGAGCTATAGCTGGAGAGAGAGATCGGCGGATTGATCTCCTGTCGTTCACGTAGAGATAAGATTTTGGTTTACCTTGACCATGGGAAATGGTGGTATATATATATTGGTGACATAGTATGCATCGTGAATAAGGGTGATTCGAATGAGTTCTCTTAAAGAGTCTTTAGATGGTTAGTAATCGAGGCAGCATTCGTTCTTACTGCACTCTTTCATAGATCAACTCATTTCTCGTGCATAGATTCACCGATTCATCTGAAAATGAAGGGTGAAAGACGAGGTCTCCAGGAAATGGGTAATTTACAAGGAAGATTCTTCCTTGCCTTTGTGTTGGACTCTGGATAGCGTCCACCCAATTTCTCTTGGACTCTAATCACCTTTGGAGAACCAACGAAGGGAGAGGGGCGTCTCCAGAGAGGAGAAGTGTTTTGTTGTGCATGCCTTCGTAGTGAATTCGGGATTGAATTTCTTGGACTTTCTGGAGAGGACAGAGAGAGTCCAAGAGAGAGAGAGAGAGAGAGCAGAAAGAGTCCATGTAATATATATAAGAATCTCGTATCGAGCTTTCTCAAATCGAACCGTGCCAGAATCGACGTTCACGTTCGAGAAAGCACCGCGCAGCTGTCGAGGTTTCCCTCGAAATCGGCGGACCAAAGCCAACTTTTCCCTCGCGAACGATATTAAGTTCTAAGGACAGTCGGGGATATTAAAAGTGACATTTATTGGCGAACGTGCGCTGAAGCTAACGTCCACGAAATCGATAACTGTTGCAGGTTACCGTCGACCTAGGCAAGGATGCGGAGTTTCAGTGTTCTGTCACCGGACAACCGGTTCCAGTGATCTTCTGGACGAAGGATGGACTTCCTGTCAGAGAAGGGGCTTCTGGTAGGAGCAAGATCACTGGAAACGACGGGTCCACGTTGCACGTTACCTCTGTGGTGAGGGACGACAAGGGGATGTATCAGTGTTTCGCGAAGAACGACTACGAGATGGTCCAGGCGACCGCAGAGCTACGTCTAGGGGGTGAGTGCGCTTTAATTCTTAAACTTTCATTCGCCTGTTTTACGAACGGTGCGTGTGTGTTGAACGAGGCGAGAGAGCCTGGCTTGGCCAGCGCGCGGAATTACCCCCTTCGAAAGTTAAAAAATTTAAGAGCGATGAAAATATATCTGACGCCTGTTTCTTCAGTCCTTCGCCTATAGCGGTGGTAACGCCACGGTTAACTTTTTCCCTGGCAAAACGTAACTCGTACAACAGCAAGATGTACTTAAAGCGTGTTGCTGCACCGGGGGTCAAGACGGATTAGTGTACCTAAGCGCTCGTAACCCTCCTCTCCTCTACACTTCTACCACACCTCTTCCCCCTCCTTTTCACGAGGCTAGCTTCTACGAGGTTCGCGGAAGTTTTATAAAAGTTCCGTCTGAAAATAATAAGGCTGAATTAAAGCTATTACCAGGTCCACTGTTAACCAAGGCTCTCTATTGCGAAACTTTTCCCTACGACCACTTCCGACGACCCACCGCCGCTTTTTATCGGCTATACGCCCAAGTAAGTCCGTTAAACGCGATAAAAATACGTATTACAATGACGCTTTATCCCCACCCCGTTTATCCGTCGGATGAGTTAAATATTTTTAATTAACGGCGAAGTTTTCGCCGGGGCGAAACGTCTACCTGTGGTTCTCGTGCTTCGTTAATCTCGGAAACGAGACTTCGCCAGACTGGTGAAGAACACGTCGAGAAGTTCGACGAACGAACGAGTCGATATATCGGCTCGTAAGTAGGATATAAAATTCTCCCCCGGCACCTTTAGTTTCGTTTCAGAATTTCACCTGGAATGTATACTCCCCGTGGCTGGCAACATGATTCCACGCTTCGTCGCATCCAGCTGCCTCTCCTTTTTCACCTCCTTTTCCACCCTGCTATCCGAGGGAAACCACTCTCGTTCAATACGCGCAACCGAATTCTTTCATTACTCCGTCGGTTCTCCCGATCTCGCCGCGTCGCGGTCTCGCCCATTCTCGCGCCCATTCTCGAGGAGGGCGACGCGACAAAAAGCTCGGTCTGCCAGAGCTCTGCCGGGGTGGGTGGTTGAGAGGGGAAATAAGACCGCGGAGCGAGGACGAAAGGAGAAGGAGGAGGAAAGGTGTAAAAGGACGAAAGAAGGACGAAGAAGACGAAGAAAATAGTAAAGGATGAAAAAGCTCGAGGGAGAGAGAGAGGAGAGCGTCGAAAGGAAGAGAGGAGGAGGGAAAAAAATGCTTAACGAGGGCGATGCATAATGGAGAAAGGAGAAATCCACTGGCTGGCGTGCCGTGAAATAAATACATACCATTTGTCTTAGTCACGAGGGTGGGAAGCCGGGCGAAGCTGCCGCCAGCTCGTGGAGTGAAAGAAACGCGTCGCTAGAGGGATGAGGAGCGTCGGTTAAAAGTGTTGGTGTGGTGCCCAGCTCGAAATTCCCGCGCAAAAACCCAGAACGAACGAACGCTCCATGGCCGTGGCCTGAACGAATTGCGCTTTACCCTTCTCACCCTCTGTCCCACTATTTCTCATCACGTTCCACCCACGAAATGCAGGGCCGAAATATTCCGGTGGGGCCGACGTCTTTAAAACTAGCGTGGAAGAACGAAAACGCCTGGCTTCCGCGTGACATAATCCATTACCTTAAACGACGCTGTCAGTCGAGCGTCTTAAGTGCACGTACATACCGACGGCCATTTTCGTCTTAGTGTCACGTATACGCGGCTGAAGCATCGGCTGACATTTCTCACAGGGCTAGATGTCCCGTGCAACAACGTCTTCGTTTACTATCCCATCCCTCTTATCCACCTGCCTCTTGTTTCGTTGGCTAGTTTCGAAACGCGAGAGCGAGAGGTTCCTCGCGACTCGACGACGGCTCGAGAATCGGGGGGGAAAAAAGAGGATGTGCCGGAAGAAGGAACGACGGAAGATGTAACGTGGAATGTAATGTCGCGGTGTTTTGTTTTACACTTGGTAGAAATGTTTAGCGAATGGTTGAGTAATACGGGTACTGTTTTGCAGTTTTCGGGTAAGTGCTGTGCTGTTTTTTATAGTTATCTTTCTAGAGGGCTAGATCCTTTGGGAATAATGTTCTTATTCTTAGAGCAGTGAAACGTAGGGCTGCTTGCCATCCTTAAATTTTCTCGTATGAATCTTGTGACACCCGATAGATATGTAACTTCGAGCCAGTAGCAATCGTTGGTCGTCTGGATTGTCTCCTCTCGTAAACACTCTCTGTGGCCACACGTAGGCTACATATCTGCCATAAATCGTACGAAAAATACACTGTCGTTAACATACTAACGTAGGAATACTGTTATCACTAGGCAGCGGGTTTGTAAGCAAATTTCTATTTTTCAGAATATAGTAAAAAAAGTAGAACTTGGGCAGAAAATTATTTCACCTACTAGCTACTATAAAAAGCTCTATAATTCAGGTATTTGGTATATTTTTCATATTGCGTGCAATCTGTACAAATGCGTAAAAATCCGCAGTCTAGTTATCACTATTTGGTTATTATTGTTGTTTGCTTATATTAATGTAATTTCAACTAAATTTCCAGTGGTGATTGAGTGAGTGCAAATTAACACATTGCGTATGGGTCACGAGATATATCGTTTATAGTAAACCGAACTTTGTGGCCGGGTTACGAGATATCTCGTTTTAATGTTTTTTCACACGCGCGTCTCGATTTCTCAAGAAATTAAAAATGAATTTGTTTGTTACATTACCAAGGCAACGAAGCCTTGCATATTCTTGCGACAAATGATTAGCGAAATAAAAGAAAAAAAAAAAAGTGAAGTCCGTTCGTCCAATGGAAAAAGGAGCAAAACCAGATACAGTTGCAAATTATGCCAAATACCATTGCACAAAGGAGAATGCTTCACCAGATATCATACTCCGAAGCATTATTCAAGTTTGTAAAATAAATAATAATTAATCGATTTAATTTTATTTATATAACAAATAATAGTTAAAATGTAAAAAAGCCTACATACGTAATATTTAAGAATATAAATAAGAATATGCATTGTACAAAGTTTTTTTCGAGCGTTAAAAAATGTGCGGGCCCTGGAAGCGGGTTGAGCGAGCAGAGGTGTCGAACGCAATGTGTTAACATGTAGTCTGTACTTAAAAATACTCGTAAACAGGCAGAGGAAAAGACGAACGAAGAGTCATAAGACAAAAATTCTGTTTACTGTAAAATATTTAATTAAAAGTTTCCCCGGTTCTCCTCTAAACCCTCCCGCATTAATATCGAATATCTCGGTAATTTTCCGGTTGATCCGAGAGGTTAACATTACAGCTATCAAAGCAATTTACTTTATATTTTAAACTGTTAACTCTCCTCGGAGAATGTCTGCATTAGTAAAAGAGTTTATTCTTGTTTCACGCGATAAGAAGATATTCTCGTCCCTCGGATCGGCAGATGTCGATTATCGCGACGCTTAAAAGGTACCAGATGCGTCCGATTTCAAACTTCGTTCTACAATTACTTCGAACAGTTTTAATGAAGACCAAGAGTTCATTTTATTCGCCGAACGTCCCTGCTCTGTCGCGGGGGATATTGAACGATGCCCCTCGAACGTCGGGTAAAACGTAGAAGGGACAGGCGTTCGTTTATTTCCCTGGGCGGACTCTATTTCTCAGTCGGGTCGTTGTGCCCGTGGAAATTTTTAAACGTCGACGAGAAAAAAAAAACAAAGAGAAAGTTGGAATTTCACCGATCAGTTCGTTCGTTCAGTCAGTCGCGGGGCTCGAGAACACGTTCAATTCTCCGCGGTTAATAACTTTCCCTCTCGGTCTCTCGCCGATAAGTCACGACGTTCCCCGTTCGTTCCTTTTGTCCACGAGGACGCGCTCTGCCTTCCTTTTCATCGACCACCACTACTGTCCTTTTAAATAATTCATGCGTTCAAGCGAACGCAGGATTTTGAGAAATGAAAGGAAGGGAAAAAAAGCACGTAGAATCGAAATCGTTCTATTCCTCTCTCTCTCTCTCTCTCATTTTCGCTCTTTCCTCTCTCTCTCTTTCTCACTGTCGATGCGTATCGCTTTGTGCAACTCGAAATAATTGGAAGCGGACTAATCCTCTCGCGTGACAAAGGGAAAGGAATCAAAGCGGCGAACTTTTGTAACGATGCCGAACCGACTTTGAAAAGAGGGGAAACAGATGTACGCGCGTAACGTAGAAACGCTTCTATCCGCTAACAGCGCGGTTTTTTCCTTTTTCTATCTCTCTCTTTTTTTGCTCTGTCTCTTTTCTTCCTCCAATTTATTCGACCGAGGGCCAAAAGAGGGGGTCGGAATGGGGGAAGAGGGCAAAGCGGAACGGTTTATGGAACGCACATATGGCCCGTGGAAAAGAATTAGAGAGAAAGGAAACCGTCGATTTTGGCACCGGGCCAAATGATTCCACGTGAATATTCGGGCTCGTCGAAATTGCGAAATATTTTGTAAAATACCGGCGTTAAATTTTTTCACCGGACCGATCGCGTAAGTCAATATTCACAGTACCTCCTCTCTCTCTCTCTCTCTCTCGCCTCTCGGCGTGTTTCCTTTTTCTGGTTTTTATAAACGAACGGCAACGATAAAGAGGCGTTTTTCACACCGGTAATATCGCCACCTGCCTGTCCTGTCATTTTCATAGAACGCGACAGATCTCTCTGGCGGGAACGGTTCTCACCGGTACTGGCAAACTTCCATTTTATTTATACCGCGCTTTAGCGCATTTCCCGGGCCGGCAATCGCGCCACGGTAAATAATGTCTTCCTGTCGAATTACCGAATCGCAAATCGCCCTCGTCTTCTCCCCGCACCACCGTCGATACGCTCTGTTTCCTATCAACGAACGAGCGCAGTTTCAACCACGTCCCGAGTATGTCCGAATGTGAAACAACGCTCGGGAGGTTATTGCGAAAATGTTCAAATTCGAAGAATTATTGTGTGCATCACGGGACGTGAATAAATTTCGGGGTTCAACGGAAACCTTGGATAAAAGGATCGGCGGCGAAGGTTCGATTTTACGGAAGCGTAGTCGCGAGTGAGGATAGTGTATAGACGCGTAATTGCAAGAGGGAATCGTACGCTATGCAAGGCAGAACAATTAATACCGTGTTCTCCTAACAAAGCCATAATGACGACTCTATGATCGACTCGTACTACTGCGGCTGTCTGACCACCAAGACACGAACCACTGCGAGCCTCTCTCATCAAAGCGACCAGCCATACGCGGCTAAACCCTACTACTAGATTGAATCTACAATTTCTCGCCGTTCCGTAATAATCGCAAATTGCTCTCGAATATCTACCAAGAACACCGCAGCCGTTCTGAAACGTTCAAACGTGGAAAGAAACAGAGCGTTGACATTGGAGAATGCAGCAGTGAAACGCGTTGAAACGAGAGAAATTTGGATTCTTTCCTATCTCTTCGTTTGTCTACTGGATGAAAAACTGACAGGTATTTAACACTAGAATTAACACTCCAGTCAAAATGATTAGTTTCACAATTTGATCTTAAAATTCCTACTTCGTGTTACACTTTTTCTCCGAAGCGATGTCATGACTTTTGCAGCAATAACTAGAGAAAGAGTATTACGAATTTTATTTCTTTTTGTTTTATTCAAAATCGACATAATTTTGTATCATGGCTACTAATACTAATGCCAGTAAAAATCGCTTACCGAGTCCAAGTTAATAAAGTTTAGAACAATAACGAGTGTATTTGAAATTCAGGACTCAATGATAGTCATCGCAATGTCTCTGTTCTCTCTACTTTACGCTAACACTTTAATTCTTATTCACATTGCGCTATTCTTTCTGTTGTATTGCAAAAATCTAAAATAAATGGGAAACTAATTTCTATACGCCTAGGAAGTAATTTAAAAAAAAATTGATGATTTTTGGCATTTAAAACTGAGGAAAATGTGAACGTTATAGGGTTAATACTCTATAACTCTATGACTCTCGCTCGTCTCGTTCAACCGCTCGTTCTCTCCTTCTCTAGATCTTTCATCGTTTTTCTCTCACGTCCACCCAAATCTTTGAAAGGTCTTCGTTCACCCGATACTCTCACGCTCTCGTTCCAAACAATTTTCATTCACACCACTATTCTTGCTAAACATTCGCACGAAAAGTCCTATCACACGTCTACCTCTGTGTCCAAACACTCGCTTAAATATTTACAATCTACCATAACCCATCACTCTCGCAATAGGCGCTCGTATGACAAAGGAATAGAAAAGTGACAGAGTGAGAACAAGAAAATGTGAGGCAAAGCGAGGAAGAATGAAAATTTGTGGAACGAAAGCATATTTCTGAAGCACTTTTCTGTCCTAAGCGCTCGAATACGGCCACTAGCCACTCATTTCATCGTAACCACCTTATTTCCTTTTCCTACAATTTCACCCTACTCCTGAAAAGAGAAGAAGAACGATCCACGCAAATCGATCGGTCAACGTTCGCTCAAAGACGGCGTACCAACTTCGAACCAGCATCGAGGAGGACAGAGAGGCATCGTCCGATGGGGCGATACGGTGAACGGAACGGTGCGAGGTTTTCGATAACCTACGGTACACCGGGTTTCGGTGAATGACAACGAGAACCCGCGTCGCGTATTATTGTACGCGATGGCGCAAAACGGGGCGTGGCATTCGGCAATACGGCATCCTGATTTACGCCGTGAGCAAACAGCCGCGCAGCTCCGTGCAGCTCGGTTATTGTCGGCTCTATAATTTGGGGTTAATTCACTAGGCGGCACTCGAGTTCAGGCGTCAAACCGCAGATCGATAGTTCTGCCCGCGTACAGGCCTTGTCATGTAAATGTTGCGTGCATAATACCCCGCCTTGCGGCGAGCCAGGATCATTTCCACGGATCGTACGCGCCGCCTCCTTGTGTATGCGTGACCCCGAACACCCACAGGCCACCTGAACCAGGTGCACCGATATTCTCTAGCCACAGTTACACTCCATCCCCTATTCCGCTCGTTAGTTCACCATCCTGCACGGGAATTTCGATCCCTTTCCTTGCAACTTCCAGATCCGAATGAATTTGAATTTCATCCTGGAATTCTGATCCACGCGATCCCATTCGAGAGGTTGGTTCACGTTTGTAGTTTCGTTTTAAAGAGAAATGCGTTCGCGATACAGAGAGAGAGAGAGGGAGAGAATGTGTACGTGTGTGTTGGATTGTAGGAAAATGAAGTTTGTCAGAGTTATCGGTTGTATTAGCGACACTTTGTTCCACGTGTTGTTACCTGGAATAACAAGGAGGGACACGTCTAATTCCCGGGTGCAGAAACAGAAGCAATTCTCTATACGGGCAAATCCCCACCTATAATCTGCACGCATTTACCTGCTTATGGTGTGTATACACGCACCATTGAATTATTTCGAAATCTCGATGGATTCCGGGTGAATTCCAGCGGCGATCGATTCCATCTGGTGAAATTGAAACACGCCGGGTCCGGCGTAATGTTGCTAGAAGCGTCATTTAGTTTTCGCGTATCGCCCGCGGTGTGGAGGGTGAAACGGCGTCGGGAGGGAAAATACGCGCAACCCCCGACGAATTACCATTCGCTGCTCTCTCCCTCTATCTTTCTCTCTCACGCAGTCGCCTGGTGAATGGAAAAAAGCGATATTCAACTTTGAAACCATAAAATGAAAACGCGGAACAAAATAACCAACCAAATTAAGCCAACCCTTTTTTTATTCCATAGCGCGAGTTCAACGAGTTTTTCGAGAACGATTATCCCCCTCGAACGAGTGAAAAAAAAAAAAGGAAGAAAAATACACGCGAAGCACGCGCGGGGAAAGAAAATTATATTCCACGGTTTTCACCTCGAACCTTCGACCCACTTTAACGCCCATTAACCGACGGCCACCATTTGCATAATTGTTTTAAAAAAAGAAGGAAAGAGAAAACTGCTCGTCGACGTCGTCGACGGCGTTTCATCGTCGACAACGTGGGGATCGAGAAGCGTTTAAATCCTTTAATGGTTCTCTCTCTGTGTAGACGCAGCGCCGCAGCTTCTGTACAAATTCATCGAACAGACCATCCAACCGGGTCCTTCGGTGTCGTTGAAGTGCATCGCAACAGGAAATCCAACGCCACACTTCTCCTGGACCCTGGACGGTTTTCCTCTTCCGCAGAACGACAGGTAATGACGTTGTTTCACACCGCGGGACGATAGATTAAGAACGAAAGGGACGCGTGGAGGCCTGCTCCTCTGCGGCGAGGCGTAAAATCGATGGATGGTGTGTACACAATTATTTTCGGTTATTAAACCGCGGCTATTACGATCGACAGAAAATCAGACCGGCCTGGCCGTTATAACGCCAGGGTATCCCGTGGGAACGGGATACACTTGCCCCGCGGGCTTCGATTCTCTGAGCCAATTGAGGGGAAAATTACCAATCAACCGGGCTCTCGGTCTAAACTTTTTAGAATCGCTCGATTTAGAGATGATAGATCT